GAGTTATTGTGATTTTGGGGATCAAAAAGTGAATGTTGGGATTTAATTGGATCGATAAGGGTGTTAGGGTCTTTTCCAATGGTGAAGGTATTTATGACATTTGATATTGTTTATTTATTGTTTTTTATAATTGAAGGTCATTTGGCCAAGAAACATTGAGATATAGTTTTTTAACCAAAATCATTGTTTGACTAGGTCTTTTAACAAAGACTCCCAATTTTGGAAGGGAAGGGCGTCCATGGGTACAAGTCACTAATACGGGCTGAAGTCCCAATGCTTATGCCTCAAGGTTTGGGGCAGATTAGGGAATTAGCCCAAAGGGTTGAAGACTGGCATGTAAGGAAGCAAGCCCATCTTCATTATGGCCCATCTAAAGCTCTTCCAAATAAAATCCAAACTATGGCCCATTTAGATTAATGCTTGCTTTCAAGTTCTTAATTCTTCCATGTAATGCAAGTTAGTCCTTTTCTTCATTCTCCCCTTGATTTTGATCCTCCAACTTTTACTCAAGTGAGATTTAGTCAAAAAACTTCTATTTAATAGCCAATTGTTTCTTTTTCTTTTCCAATTGCTTTGAAATAGGTCTAACATTGAAATAACAGAAAATCAACGAAGTTAAATAAAATTTAATACTTTAACGACATAAAATCTTAGGAATATGGTCCGATTAAGTGTACAAATTGCACTTATCCCCTAGTTCTATTGCGACTTGTTGGGATTCAGGTTCATTCCGAACGGTTAATCTATTAAGTTTACACTACATGACAAATGGTATTTTACAACTAATGTTTCAATGACCAAATTAATCTTTTCGTTAAAAACTATTTTCATAAGTTTGAAATATGTTATAACGACCAAAAAATTAGTTATTAATCCTATATTTTCTACGACCAAATTAATATTGGTCGTTGTGAGTGGGCACCAAATGAAGAAATCCCGCCAAAATATTTATTAATATTCAACGACAACTACTTCTTTCATTAATTGAATGATTTATCGTCTAAGTGGATAAGTAATGTAAAAACAAAGTTGTATGGTGAATTTTACATGAAAGATCTAGGTAAAGTTAAGAGAATCCTAAGTATGGAAATTGAAAGAGATTGGTCAAATTTTACATTTTTTTTTTTTGCATCAGTCTCCATATGTTTCAAAGGTGTTGAAAAGATTTGGCATGCATTATATTACTTTTAGCTAATCACTTTGTATTATCTAAAGATTGGGCTCCATGTAATGAAAATGAAATAGAATTCATGAGTAAGATTCCATATTCTAATGCGATTGGATCTATTATGTATTTGATGGTTTGCACTAGACCGGAATTAGCTTTTGCTATTAGTACTCTTAGTAAGTGCATGTCTAATCCGAGTCCTAAGCATTGGGAAGCCTTAAAGTAATCGGTATTTGAAGGGGACCAGTGATGTAGGTCTAAAGTTTGATGTTAGTAAGGAAGAGTGAAACTCAGAAGGTTTTGTAGATGCGAACTATGGGATAATAGAAAATCGACTTTCTCCTATGTATTTACTTTATCTAACTCTTGCGTTAGCTGGAAATCACATTTACAATACATAGTTGCATTATCCATGACAGACAGAATATATTGCTACCATTGAAGCAATTAAAGAGGCTTCGTGGCTTAGAGGTTCGTTTAAGAACTCTGTTTCTTGAATGATTATATGGTAGTATATTCAGATAGTCAATTTTCTATACATCCATGCAAAAATACTGTTTTTCACGAACGCACAAAACATATTGATGTCATACCTCATTTCATTAGAAATATTGTATCACAAGAGGTGGTAAGACTTGAAAAGTATATACACAATATAACCCTTCGAACATGGGCACTAAGATGTTGTCATTGGTGAAGTTTAGAAGTTGCAAAAATCTTCTAAATATCGGCGGAAGTAAATAATTTCGCGTTTGATCAGTTTTCCTTTTGGAGTTGTCATTAATGAGTGATATTGTTTTTCTTGCAGGTCTTTTAACACCGAGGTTGAGGTTTGTTGAGCAAATTATTGTCAAACAACCTCGTGTGCGATGATGTTAAATAGATATAATTTTATCAGTGGCATCGACCAATTGGTTGAACTAGAATATCAACCTCTCAATGAAATGACTCGACCCTAAAACTATTTGGAGCCATTAGAAGTAGTCTATTAATAGAGTTGCTCATGGCCAGCTCATTCACTTCTTGGACGGCTTATTAAGTGTAGACCCATTTATTATTCACTTGGCTACTTACCGGTTTTGGGCTTGGCCCATTACTATACCTAATGTTGGCTTATATATGCTTCCCCTTTTTTGCTTGGTTACATATGGTGCGTATTATTGCTTCTCCTTCCTTGGCGAAATGGCTACCTCTTTCTATTGCTTCGTGCCTAGTATTTTTCTCCTTCTCCCAAGCCTTCGTAGCAGCCTTTGTGGCTACAATAATACCTTCATCCTTGTGTCCTTTTGTAGGTAATACTAGAGCAACCAAAAGTTGTAATAATTATTGGATTTGGATCGTTGCTTTTGAGGGTGTTGATTCGATTGGATTCATACTGATCCCGGAAAATGACATTGTGATCAAATCTTCTGCTGCAATCAAACTAGAGATTTGAAAAAAAAAACGTCTCAGTTTCTAAATAAAGTTAATCACTTTTTTCGATTTGATTTAAAGATGTTACCTCTCAACTCAAATGTGATGTCAGAAATTAGCTCCGCCATTTGTCAAATGAGCTTCGTTACTTTGCAAATGGATAAAACTGAATTCCCTACTTTAATTTTCTTTTCAAGCTATAATTACATTTTGGCAAATGTTCTGTAAATATGATTATCCTTCTTGTCATTTACATAAACTTGGTAGTGTTGGACAAAATAACAGTAAAGTGCAGAAAAACTTATCAACAGATAAAGTCTCGTGACAGCACGATATCCTAAAGCGAAATTGCAAGTCGATAACTGCTGCGACCTCCGTGGACAATCACCTACAGGATACCACGATCAAATAAACCAATTATGCAGCAATCATAAAAGGTTTTCAGAACTCTCAAGTGTACTCCAGAAAATAAAAGACAATTTGAGTATAATATTTTACTGTATATATGAAGAGACAATTTCGTTTTTGTTGTGTTTTTCTAATACCCAAAAGTGTGTTTATATAGGCATGAAGAGATGTAACTTCTTCCACCATGATCTAGCATTAAGTTGCAGATGTAATGGCCTATGGTAATGGATATTAAAACTGGGCAGTTAAAACTGTCATATTTTACTGGCTAGTTGACCCATTAAATAATTTCGAAAATAATTAAAAAATAATAAGTATTTTATTAGAATCAATAAAGCCCAAGAGCCCAAGGCCCAATCAAAGACTTTTTAATATAATGCGTGAGGCGTGGCTCGAATCCCTGACCTCCCACACAAATTCCACACTTTTACCGGTTGGGCACTTCATCTTAATTAGTTATTTCTTTCACATATTATATTTATTGTATAAATATATAACAGGTAGAACCACATTTGTTATGAGCATTAAGAACATCTGAATTTGCTCAATTTTGATGGAGTTGTGCCAAATAGACACAAATTGGAGTTTATCTGCTAAACTTTTTCTTTTGATCCAAGTTGAAAACATGTTACTTAACTCTTACATTAATGCCAAAATGCAACTCTTCTAACTTACAAGAAAAAGTACAACTTAGGGAGGGGACAAGACTTGGTCTCCGATTGATGATTAGGGACTCGAATGTTTAACATATAATAATCATCAATTAGGTTCTCCCCACCTCCCCACCCCAATTGGGTCTCGATGGAGGCTTCAAATCGCGCCTACGCTTTGACGGTGTTTTAACCGAAGAGAAAAAAACTATCAGGCACTCAAAATCTGTAAATTTTTATGGTGAGGTTGAAGACCAAATGAACTTGCCAATATGATTAATTGTTCAATCCAACTAAAAATGGATTGCTTTGCCGCAATTTCATAAAGCATTTTCGCCATGTTTTCCTCTAAACATGTAGAAAGACTTGTTGAAAATCACTGGGAGGGATGGTCCAACCAAGAAAGGCAAGGGAGTTATGCAAGTTTGCCCACATCTTCTCTATCTAAAATCATCTTATTCTCAACTATCATAGTTGACATTCCACTTGTGCGTCCTTACGTATTCACAAAAAAGTGCGTAATATGAATATATATCCACACGAAGAAAATTAGCTTACCATCATGCTATATGTGAATATGCTTTATATTGTATCGGGTTTATCTAAATAGCCTTAAAGATTCCAAGCACATGCGGATCCCTTGCTACAGTGTCATGATGCATTTCTGCCATGTTTTCCTCTAAAGGTGAAGAAAGACTTGTTGAAAATAACTAGTCGGGTGGTCCAACCAAGAAAGGCAAGCGAGTGATGCAAAGTTTGCCCACATCTTCTCTATCTAAAATTATCAGATTCTCATCTATCATAGTTGACATTCCTCATGCCCCCTGCACGTATTCACGAGATAATATGAAATACAAATTATATCCATACGAAAAAAGATGATGAAAATCAGGTTATTATGCCATGCTATATGTATATATGCTTTAAGTAGTGTCTGGTTATCTCAATGGCCTTAAAGATTCCAAGCACAAGTGAATAGAACTTGTAATGATCCACAAAGGTCATTTTAAACAAGGGGTCATCTGTTTTAGCATCTATTCCAAAATATCTGAAAGAATTTTCTTCTTTTTAATTATTTTACATGGAAAGTTAATAGAACAATTCAAATAAGTAATCCACCCCCTTCGGCCCTATAAATACTAGTTAATGAGACCATTTTATATCAAAAATCAAATCTAATACAAAGATCTTCATTAATTTGATCAAGAAAATCTTGTATTTTCCATCAAATTAGCAACCTTTCTAACAACTTCGTTGCATACTAATAAATTAGTTACTCGTGCCACATTACTTTCGCTTTGGTCTTTTTGGTCGCATTTGATGGATCGTATAGTGAAACTGGCTTCTCAGAAAGCTGTGGTGATCTTTAGTAAGAGTTCATGTTGCATGTGCCATGCTATCAAGAGACTGTTTTATGAGCAAGGTGTGAGTCCTACGATCCATGAACTAGATGAGGATTCAAGAGGAAAAGAAATGGAGTGTGCTCTAATGAGGTTAGGATGCAGCACTGCTGTCCCAGCTGTGTTTATCGGAGGAGAATTTGTGGGCTCTTCTAATACTATTATGACTCTGCATCTCAATGGTTCACTTAAGAAGTTGTTGAAAGATGCCGGAGCATTATGGCTCTAATCACAAGTGCAAGACATGTTTTGAACTATATGAGGAAACTTAACACATGATTTTCAACACTTTTTTCCAATTAGGGGTGGTTTAGTACAAATGTAGTACTATATAGAGTTTCTATATATATAGAGCCGGTCTTGTACACTAATTCAGTTACATCGACAAGTAACTCTGTAAAACCTTTCTGTTTTTCCGTTTATTTTTCCCCTTTTTTTCCACAGCCAGCAGTAAAAGAACTTTTATAGTTGAATTACACTTTGATCGTGAAACCAACTAGTTCAATGTGACCAATTCTAGATGTAAGTCCAAGAACAACGGAAAATTGGAAAAAAAGAAATCAAAAAATCCGGAGAATTTCACAAACTGGGAATTTATGATGTTCCCTGGCATTGAATTTCATAAAAAGAGATTTGTCAACATATAATGCCCATGATTCAGTTGAGCCACCTCGTTTAAAAATCAATATGCCCCTTTACATACGCACTCCAGATTCATTTTATCAAAGCAGGAGAGACTTGAAATCATCACATTTGTGTGCTCTTAAAGCACATCATCAAAGATTCAAAAATATTAAGCTGTCTGAGAATGGAAAAATTTATTCATTTAAACTTTGCATTGGCCTTCAAAACTGTATTATCACTTTGAAATTTAAGCAAATACACGTGTGTCCTCTAATAGCTTAAAGATGATTAATTATTTCTCTTCAATTTTTTTATTTTTTTTTTCTTTTTAATGGTATGCAATGATTTCAGATTTTGGATAACATGATAATTTTGAGTCTGTGAACTAAAATCAAAATGACTTTACAGATTTTCTTTTATTTTTAATACAGAAATTTGAAAGGAAAAAAGGAAAAGCACATAAAATTCTCAGTTTATAATTAAATTAGATCACTTTTTGGGATTTCATTTGAAGATATCACATCTCAATTCATGCGATACCAGAAAGTAGTTTTGCCATATGTGAAATGAGTTTCATTACTGTGCAAATGGATGAGGAACAATTGAATTCTCTACTTCAGCTCTCTTTTTCAATGCTATATTTTTTAGTTTGGCAACTACTGTTTACCAATGATTCTCCTTCTTGTCATTTACATAAAGTCAGTAATGTATAATCTCGACAATCTCAGTCAAACACATGTTATGAGTGTTAGGAACCTCTGAATTGCTCGGTTTTGATGGAGTTATGTCGAATAGGCATTTATTGGAGTTTATTCTGAACAAACCCCTACCTTACGCCAAATATGTAGCGTTTTTAACTTACAAGTAAGAAGAGTGCAACTGAGGAGGGGGCAAGACTTGACCTCTTATTAACGATACTGACTATTTAACAAGTAATCGTTGGAGAATTTCCAATAGAATGTCATTTTCGGACAATAGTTGTTTGATCAAATAAGGATATTACATATCATGTATCGAGGGATGTAGATAATATCGAACCAACATCATTTTTTGGCCAGCATTACTGGGCTGGAGTGTGCACACGCCAGCTCTTTGTCTGGTCTACCGCGTGCAAGCCTAGACTACAGTTCCTTGCGCCTGTTTGTTATCAGACCTAATTTTTCTCATTATTTTTGCATATTTGCAGTTTTTTTTTTTTGTTTGTTTATGATCCTAAAAGGTGTCTTATCATATGGGTGCAACTTTCGTAAAAAGATGTTTGATAATCTGTAAATAGCTTCAACATCTTTTGGAAGCAATATATATGAAAGTGAAAATAAAGAATATAAACTTTTCTGAGTTTGGCTTCTGTCCTTAGTGATTGGATTGTTTTTATTAGTGCACAAGGTGAACAACATTCGAGTTCCATTATATCCAAGAGGCATCTTTGGTTTCCTTTGTGCATAGTGGGAACAAATATCCTTTTAAGGAAAGCAACATTTGTAACGTGCCTTGGAGCAAAGTTTCTTCATCTTAAAATTCAAATGTTTTCTCCAACTTCATCTACCTTTTTGCCTTGGCTATTGAGAGAGAATTCGAACAATAATAATCATCAATTAGGTACTCCAAACCCTCCCCCCATCCCCCACCAACTGGGTCTAGGTGGAGGCCTAAAAATCCTGTCTAGGCTTTGATGGTGTTTCGACAAAAAATGAAAATTTAGGTACTAAAAATCTGTAGATTTTGAGCTGATGAGCTTGAGTATACATGCCTCTATGATTCATTGCTCAATCCTAAAAATGAAGAAAGACTCAGTGAAAATCACTGGTCAGGGTGGTCCAACCAAGAGAGGCAGTGGGAAAGACACTAGTTTGCATGTATCTTCTCTATCTAAAGTTACCAGTTCTCATCTATCATAGTTGACATTCTCCATGCTCTCCATCACATATTCACGAGATGGCGTGCAATACAAATTATATCCATATGAAAAAAGATGATGAAAGTCAGGTTATCTTATATCATGCCATATGTGAATAAGCTTTAAGTAGCGTCTGATTTATCTGAATAGTCTTAAAGATTCTAGTACAACTAGAAATAACATGTAATACAGTTGGAAACATATCGATCTCAACAATCTCAGTAGAACACATGTTATGAGTGTTTGGAACCTCTGTATTTGTTCAGTTTTGATGGGGTGTGTGGAATGGACATACGTGGAGTTTATGCCGAACTATTTTTTTTTAAACGTTGAAATATGTTACTTATGTTGAAGAAACTCTTCTTTGCTTAATACTTATTTTTTCTTGGAAGGAAGTGCAACCGAAGAAGAGAACCTACCTCCAAATAATGATTATTAACTTGAAGTTTTAGTGGATAATAATCATCAATTAGGTACTTTCCCTCCCCCCCCCCCCCCCCCCCCCCCCCCCCCCC